AGCTATTTATTTTCATGGGTGCATTCCAAGCTATGTCCTTGCAATTTTTGGATTGATTCTTTGTTTCAAATTTTTGTGGGCTTACTATGATTTTAGTGGGAGTGCTATGGTTTTGGCTAAAGGCAAATTTCAGTTTTGGCAATTTCACTTTCTTACCTATTTCAAAATATTATAGGGTTTAAATGTGAGATTTGTAAAGTCCTAAGAATTATGTGATATGTATGTAGGTATGCGTTGTGATATTAAAGATGTGTCAATACATAATATTTTTATGCTATGTATGTAAATTCATTCGAACTTAGTAGTTTTATAGCTATTTGATTTCTAGTTCATATTCAGAATTGTTTCACATCAACAATTTTGTGAGCTTGCTACGATTCCGGTGGGATTGCTTTAGTTTAGGTTAGAGGTGTTAGTATTGCCAGCATTTCATGATCTGAATTTATGTGTTAATGAAGGGAGTTTAGATTTGAGCTTTGTAAATACTTAAGAAATGTGCGCACTTGAATTCGGTGGGATTGCTGTGGTTCTGATTAAATTGGTGGGCTTTAGATGTGATGGTGGTAGCTTAACATGTATTTGGAATATTTAATTACACATGACTCAATTCTTATACATTTACATGTCTAGCACTAATAACTTAAAGTTTGCAAACATGAGGCCTTACATAAGCCTAATAATGTGCACTTCAGTTTTAGTCATTTCTACGTGATAATAATGATTTTAGTGGTATGTGCATAAAGATGAAAGTCTTGGTGTAAGATTTCTAAATAAGTAAGATTTGTGTGCTATGTATGTAAGTACATGAAAGGTGTGTTCTATGATAATATATTGTGATTTGTATGTAAATATATAAGAACATTAGTGTTTTTGTTACGAAATATTAGGGGTTACTATGGAGTAGGTGAGATTTCTTTGGTTTTAGTTTGAGCTGATCGTTTTATAGTTGGATGGGTGATATATTAACATACATTTGGATGTTTTACATAATTTATTTCTTATGCATTCACATAAGGGTTATTCTTCCTCATGACTACTTCACCTCCTCATGGCTATTTTCACTTATACATTATAACATCTATGTTCAATGATTTTTGTAGAAAAATATAGCTTTTTTAGTAGCATATGAAAAAATAGATGCATTCTTGATATATTAAGGGAATTGCTTTCATCTATGTTGTGTGTTGAGGGTTTTTGATAACGTAATGACACATTATATACTATATGTAACGTGAATTTCGATCATGTTGCTTTTGGCTATGTTATGTAGAGCGATGATGTAAAATAAATACAAAGAGCTCAATTGATCACTAACTATGATTCATTTAGTTATCTTTACTCTTTTTTTTTATCATTAGATGACTTAGTTAATCATAAATACCACCTAATTTTATACCCCACATGACACACTCAACCACAATACTATTTGGTCTTATAGCAAATGTTTCTATACCTATATGATAATCGAATTTAGCTGATGATCCTAATGGGAAAATAATTAACAAAATAATCTCACCGAGCTCTGCTTTGATTGGTTATCCTTTTAAAATTTTTATATACTTTTTTATTAATTTTTCCTTAAAGCTTAATTTATTAATTCTTTTTAAGTTTTTCTATTCTTAATATACAATATGGGAAAATAAAAGGAATGTGGTATATCAGTCACTTGGGAGCTGAAGGTGAAGATTATTTTATGTGATTTATGCTTAAAAAAAGTCGAATTAGGCAACCAACCAATGACACATTTCAATAAAGAATGTTAGCAAAATATAATAATAAATTTCATGAAAAAATGGGCAGAGTGTATGATAAAACTCAGTTCAAGAACAAATGGTATCAACTAAAAAAATGACTAGAAATTGTGGAAGGAGTTACAATTAGAAGTAATTGAATTAGGTTGAGAACCAATTAAGAAAACGACATATGTATTTGATGAGTGATGGAGAGAAAAAATTCAGTAAATAGAAGATGTTCTTATATGTACTCTTGATACATTCATATCATTTGAACTATGATTTCATCATTTGTAAATTGTGCCAAAATTAGGTTTTGTGGCATAGACCCTGAGCTAGTGGAGATACTTGATTTGATATTTTTTGATGTTGTATCCAAGGGCTCCAATTTCAATGCTGTAGCAAAATATATTCTACGGAATTATATGTGTCTAAATATGCTCATTTAAATAAAGTTCATGAGGAACCACCGAAGGAGGCAAAACATTGTGGATCAAGTTAATTTCAAATGTTGTGCATCACGAAGCCATACACTATAAAAATAAAGAAAGCCAACGCCCAATTTTTAACTGAACAAATTTCATAGTTAGTTATACCTTGTACCGCTATGACATCTGGTGCTCGCACAACTGCTCACACATATCTTATTATGACATAAGTCATTTAGTTAATAGACTCCAATCCTGAAATATTTAAAGATATGTCATTATATTTATTCTAAAAAAAAAATTCTATAAGACTTAGTGAAGTAGGAGGTTTTTATGATGATGGTGTCATATTTGAGGATTCACTCCCTCTGTCATTTCTTAAATAATCGATCCAGCTAAACTCTGTGTTTTTTATTTGTGCTTAAGTTTAGTTTGTAATTTGTTGAACATTTATTTGAACATGTATTTATGTGTGTATGAAACTTCTTTACTATATGTTTTATTTATGTGCTTATGTTTTGAACACTTAATCGAACATCTATCAGAATAATCCGTATTTCTCTATTTTGGCAATATGTTTTGTTGATGGAATAATATGAGAAACTTTTGGGATATTTTCCAATTTTCTTTTCTTAAGTAGGATGAAACTATTTTGGTTGATGCAATACATATTTAATTTATGAAAATTTTCTTACCTTATTTTATTGAACTATGAACATGTTGTAATTGCTCCTACTTGGATGGCAAAACGGGCAACCATGGATAGGGTTTTGATTATTTTTTTATTGTTAATAACTTGTTTGCTTTTTTCCCACTTGGATGGACTTAAGGGCAGCCATGGGTTTATTTATTTATTTTAATGATGCCTATGATGAGTCATATGAACCAAGGGGTTCTTCTAGGATCTTTTTGACCCCCGCTCGATCCTCTTATTGTTACAACCTGCAAAACAATACAAAAACCTTCCTCAAATCATAACATTTTCATATGAAACCCGAACATTTTATCCAAAATTTAAGAACACGTGATTAGGTACATTAAGAAGTAAAGTTTGAAGGAAGATGGCTTTACTAAACCTCACAGTCTTTGCCACCTTTTATCTTTATTATCAATATATTTGAAATATCACAACAACAATCTAGCATGACTTTACATGTCTATTAACATCATTGATTGCCTAATTGCTTCAATGAGAATAACAAGCTTTTGTTATAAGTGGTACATGATTTTTGAGGGTGTCTAGCTCTTCAAAGACAAGAAGAGTTTTGTAGTTCATTGATTATGTTTGGCGCAACTTTTTCTCAATATGAAAATAAATGAGAGAATTTAACAAATGGAAAAATCTCCAACGGAGGGTTTGAAATTCATTTTTATTCAAACAAATTTTCTAATGATCCTATAATTAAAAAGGAACATTTTAGAGACATACCACCTAATTACTATAATTTCATTAATTTTTAATAGGTAAAATTTATTTTTTTATATTTATAACACCCAAAGCTTTCATATCATATCAAAAATATCACTATTTTAACTTTAAAAATGGGAAAGTTATCCTTTTATTTATGTATAGATAAAGTAATATAAATGCAAAAAAAAAAAAAATTTGGTATTACGTATGTAAATACATAAGAATTGGGTGGAATGTATGTGAATTTGAGAAAGCATAAAATATTTGAGCTGAACTTGTCCCCTTCTAAGTCAACAGTAAGGTTCTAAATGAATCTATGCACTGGATGAACACTTGAACTGGGCTCAATTAAGACTTAATAATGTTCATTCAAATTAGTAAATAAACAAACTTAAACAATTTTTAAAAGGTCAAAGCTTAAATGAACTAAACATAAACATATTCCAAATTTTTTTATCTATGTTCACATCAAAATCATTTGTTGTTCAACAAGTAACTCGTTAAATATTCGTTATTAAGCTGGATGATAATTGATATATGATATATTATTTCAATAAAATTTAATTAACTAGAATTATTTAGTTATAGATTTAATAATAATGTATTATTATATCAATAAATTTTTTTGTTTGATTATCAATTATATATTTATTTTATTAAATTTTAGCTGTTATATGTGAAAATACATATGATTTATGTGATATGTACGAAATTCCGCTTAAAATTAACTTTAACCCCCTCATAAACCTCACCTCACAGTTTTGCATCTTCCGATTTCCTCCTAAAGATACGAAATCCTGAGTTGCTATGACGTACAAGTATCGAAGGCAACGAAGAGATCACGATGTGCAATGGTCTCTCAAAACTCTAGTTTCTCGTATTTCTCCTCGTTCCACTATGCTCATAAAATATTACCCAATTAAAAAGTTATGCTGAGAAAGTGCAGTGCAATTATTATAAGTTATATATGTTTAAGAATAAGAATGGTGCAACAACTCAAAACAAAAAATATCCAAAAAAACTTGAAAAATGACGAGCATATCAAGAAAACTAACGCCCACATCTAAATGTTAGAGTTTGGTGCAAATTTGGAAGTATGATCCTACTAAAATATAAGAGATTACATCTCATACGATCGTGATCTCTGAGTTATGTTTCATGTTTATAGAGTTTATAATCGATAAATTAGTAAGTGAAGTATGTAAAATTATTTATTAATTTTTTTATATAAAAAGCTAGACATTTTGTTTGAATTTTTAGCCTGTTTATTATCTTGTTTAAATAATCGTTCAATTGCCATAACTAAATCCAAGTATAAAGCAAGATTAAACATTGAAAAACAAACACAAATCAAACCTATAATCATACTGATTACGAACCCAAATCCAAATTCTGATATATTTGAGTCGTCTCGGCCCCTAAATCAACCTTAAATTTCACTAGACCGGAAATTCACGACCCAAAAATCCTAATTTTCCCCCAATTTTTGTTAATTGGAGACGACGAAGTACAGCCATGTATCGCCAAGGCTCCCGCTTGCTGATGCGCGCAACCGCCGCCGCCGGAATCCGTTCAGCGGCGAACCCCGGAATCCCAGCCGCTTCTCAGGCCTTCTCCACCGAAGTTGCGGAGGCGCCGGCGATAGATTCGTCGTTCCTCGAGGCATGGAAGAAGGCCGCTCCCAACATCGACCCCCCGAAGACTCCGCTCGCATTTATGAAGCCGCGGCCACCAACTCCTTCCTCCATCCCCTCCAAGCTCACCCTCAACTTCGTCCTTCCTTACCAATCCGAGATCTCCAACAAGGAGGTTTGCCCTACCCCTCTCTTTGCCTCTTGATTTCCATAATGGTTCGATATAGCTAATTAGGGTTTGGCATTTGAAATTGAGATCGTTAATTTATTATTTTTTTATGATGGATTTCATGATCGCTATTTTGGTAGTTGATTGTGTTTATCGGCTCTGGGTGCGTGCTGAGGACTGTTCTGATGAGAATGCTTTGATATGTGAGTATGTTATTGGATCAGCTGGATGTGGATGTTTGCTTTGATCGCATCTTATATGGTGGATTTGATGGAATGAGTTCAATTTAGCTGCTTTTTTCTTTTTGCTAAACATGAGGATAGTACTATTAATGTTGCAGAGTCCAACATAGTTTAATGATAGCATCACCGAGAAAGTTAGTTTCTTTCAAATAGAAAATATAGGAAGCACATGCATAACCTATTTTGATCTTCCTAATCTGCATCAATTGTTTATTCATCGAAAACATGTGAGATGTATCTATCAAGGATGATCCGAGTCAATTGTTCTAAAATTGACAGGTTTTTTTTTTTCCAGGATTGGATTTGTATGTGTCATGATCTTGCTTGCTTCTTTCATTCTTGCCTGCTGCTTTGATATTGTAACATCAGTTTCAACTAATAAAACTTTTCTATTTTTAAGATCTGTATAGGTTCCCAATCTGTACCACCATTTATAAGGTTTACAAATAAAAAATGGGAAATATTCTTGCATACATTATAAAACATAGCTTTATTATCTTTCCCCTTTCCCTAGTGAGTTTCTCTTATTCGTATGATCACAGAGACTATTGTTTTGAACAGATAAAATAAAAATGACTTTTGATTCTGTCTATTTTCATTAAGACAGCTGTTACCATCTTAGTGAGAAAGTTGAAAAATTGCAATTACCTTAATAAGGTTTGCTAGAATAGGTAACTTGAAGTTCTCCTTGATGCTCGATAAAGTTTGACCATCAAGGCCTCATCCACATTCTTATTCATGTTGATCGGCATGAGGATCCAACAACTTGAAATTGTGTAATATATTTGAATTTCATTAATAATTGTTACCATTTTATTTGATTCTTGATTAAATAAATTTTTTTTAAGTCAGCTCGAGCTCAATCATCAAATGATTCGGCATGGAATGTACCAAGTTAATAGGGGTGATTGCTATTAAGTTAGTCATTGGTGATGTCACCATAACTATAGTTAGTGCTTTAGAAGATAATTTGAAAAATCAATTTTAGGAAGAGATGTTTGAAGTGTTATAATTTTTAATTGAGGATAATTATTTAGAGTGATTTAATTTGACATATAAAAGATGATTCACGGTAGGCATGGTATAAAAGATGGAAATGTCATGGGACTTCATACTTTAGGAGAAAAAAATAATTAGTTACTTCGAAAGTAAATTCATTTTCTTTGACGATTTTTTTTTTAAAGGTAAGGTGATTTCAATATAAGGTTTGGTAGTACAATATTGGTTAGTGATTATAGATGTATATGTGAAGAGTATAAATAGAATCACCAAAAGGAAAAATTGCTTTAAGATAAGATTTTTGAACTTGAAAGTTGAGAACTTATTACTTTGTGTTTTTTCTAGTGATTGCAGGAGTGGCGTTAAATCCATTTTTCTTAATTCTCAAATACATGTGATATTGCAACACTGCCCATAGTTTAACAAATTGTGGGAATTAGAAATTTCATGCATCCATTGACAATTTAATGATGTAAATATGGCTTACTTGTTCTACAATTACTAGATCGTGTGTCAATAAGCTTGGTCTTTTTTGTGCATGTGGGACTATTTTGTTGTTTTAACAAACCAGTATAGTTGCTAAAATAGTCTTCTTTAAATCTGTATGCATTTCTAATATCTACAACCATGTATACCAGTTTTCTTAAACTCGGTTTTAGTTATTGTTTCGTTTTTATTTATAAGATTTGGTGGTTTCAATAGTGTAACTTCACCATATTTTTTTGAGCGGTTTTGATATGTACCCCAAAGTTTTATGTATTAACACATCTAACACCTGAATTTTTATATCCACTCATATAGCACCCTAATCTCTAAATCACGTAATAAATACTGAGAACACTAACTTGTCTCTAGTGAAATACAGATTTTCTTGTTTATATTTTGATGTGATTTTGTCACTTGGTTGCCATGCAAAATATAAAAATTTAGATGTACATATGTAAACACATAAGAATTCTATGGTACTGATGTAAATCCTCTGTATTTTTATTCAAAGTTTAACAAACAAAAATATATGAAAGAAACATTTTTTGATAAATTTCGACATGCAAATCATCTTAAAATATTTAATGTAAAATTTGGACTATGATATGTTGATGTTATGCCTCGATATAGACAGGATATGTTTTACAATATGCTTATATTTTCTTGTAATCAACAAGGTAATAATCCTTTCTTTTTTCCAGTTGTGGTACCATTCTTAAATATTCTTATGTTTAGTATATTATAATTATAAATTATGAATTTCAAGATAGCACTTTGTAAAACAACAATTCTTTATCCCACTAGTGGGGTCGGCTACATGAATTCTTTTTCTTCATTGTGTCCTATTGAGTGTCATATTTCTATTTAATTCTAATAGGTTGTTAAGATCATTTTTTATATACAATATGCCCAATTCTTTATAGGTCTACCTCTGCCTTTAACATAAGTTGAAGCTAAAAGATCTACTCTCCTAACTGGATCATTAGATAGTCGACGTTTAGTATGACCAAATCATCTAAAATGACACTCTCTAATCTTATCCGCCCGGAGCTACACCAACCCACCCTGTCATGGATATATTCATTTAACACTGTATGATTAATTTAAATTTATTGTACTTGTTATTATCTAACATGAAAGCGAAGCTTGTATTGGATTATTAGTTGGTGTTCCACATTATGAGCACGAAATATGTATTAAATATTTAAAAAAAAAACTTTTTTTTAACAAATTCATTATATATAATGCTAATACTTTAATTATCTTTTTATTATAGAATAATTATATTTAATGATACTTTAGGTAAATAAATTTGGGAGTATTTATCTTTAAAATATATTAAACATAAATTTATTCCAATGATTTCTTTATCATATGTTACAATCAATGTTTAGGTTAAATATATTACTTTACCATTTTTTAGTGCACTTGTTCTATCAGTCCAATTATTTGGTTTCATGTACGAGTGACTAAGGGGATAAGTTTGAATCTTTCTACATGTCACATTTAGGTGAAATTCTTTCTACCATAAATCGAAGTGATTTTGGCATCTAAATGTGATTTGAATGGGCTAAACTGTTATGTTTTGGTTTAACCATGTAGAATGCTCTCTTTTAACACTTTGACAGACAATTTTGTTTACAGTAAAAAATGTGCCTATATATTGGTAAATGGAGTGAACAATAATGATGAATATTCTTAATAATAATAATGATGATGATGACAAAGATGATGGCAATTATGATAACGACAACGAAGACAATGATGATCACGACAATAACGACAATGATGATGATGATGATAAGACGTATTTCTACTTAATATTTAGCACATCTGACAATTTAGTTATGATAGATGAACGAATCAAATATTTTTTTTCTTAATCTAGAGAGTACGAGTGTTACAAGTGGAGCGTGGTTGATTCGTGAAAGACATAGTAGTGGAAATTGAATGCAAATAATTGATATGAGATATGCGTCATAGAAGACATGAATAAGTTTGTTGAATAAAAGAATCGTTGCAAAGTTTATAATTGCGCAATTGGGTGTGTGCCATTTTTTGTTCGTGTGCTGTAGTGTAAATCTCAAAGTGTTTTGAGGCATAAGCCTCAAATTTAAAAAATGGCATAAATTAATAAATAATATATTAATATTATAATTTATCGACACTTTAAAAGTAATATAATAGTATTCTAACTTAGTAACAAAATAATAAATTATGCAAAATTAGAAAAAAAACATGTTAATATCTTAAATTTAATTTATGAAAAAAGATGGATTACACAAACATTAAGTTATCAAAGTAAGGTAAGATGTTAAAATAAAATACTAAGTTTTTAAAACCTAACAATCAAAATAAGTTCAACGTTAATCTCTCTCATTCTTACTACTCCTCAGTTAAACAAGATTATAACTGGTCATCAACTTTTGAATTTTTAATTTTAAAGTCCTTATTACTCATCACTCAATTCATTTTTATTAGAATCATCGACAGAATGAATTGCTTATCTCGCGTCTTATCCTTAGTCATATATATATATATATATATATATATTCTCTTTCTTTTATCTTAAATATCATTCATTTCTTTTTTAACAAACAATCACCAATAAAATTATTAATTAAATTAATGAGTATGTTGAGAATTAGAATTTCAACTACATAATCTTTTATAGATGCACTTTGCTTTTATTTAATGTTTTTTATAGATGATTATTAAAAAATTTGAGACATTTTTGATGTGATGCTGTCTCCGACTAATTCATATAGTGATGAATAAACTATGCTTGATTTTTTTGTGGTAGATGTTGGAATAGTGAACACATGCTTTAATACATGAGAGCACTTAGCTAGTTTTAAAACTAGAATAATTTACTTAGCCTGAATTATAAGGTGATTTCAGGTGAATGTTTGACAAATTTAGTAGCTAGCAGTTATATATGCTTATTTCAAAAGTATAAGAAAATAATGAAAAGAAATACATGTCCTTAGATTAGAAGTTTAAACTTTATAGTTGAGAAGTTAAATCTTTCGATATATTCTGTTAAACGAAGGAAATTGGAATTCTAGAGCAAAATTTTGTGTCAGATAAGATGGTTAGTACTTTTTTCTGAAACATTTGAGTGAATTTGATTGCAAAATCATGCACATTGCATATGTAAAGCCTTGAACTAATGATCTCTTGATTGGAAGTCTAAGCTCTTAATCAATAGGCTAAGACTGTTTATGCAATGGCTACTCTTTTAAGAAGATTGTTGTTAAAGTTTAAGAGAAGCTGTGA